TCTAAAGCAAAGTTCAATGCCAAGTTCAATTCAGGCTTTTCTCTTTCTCCACTTCCCGTCCCCAGCATGCACATGGAACGGGAGAGACTGCACGTTGTCCATTCACATCGAGAAGGGTTTCACCATCTCCACCCTGGAGCCAGGCCTCACCAAAGTCATTCTGCTGCAGCAGCCTTTTGAGAGGCTACAGATGTCCTCAGACGACGGGGCCAAGATGCTTTACTTGGACTTTGGCAGCTCAGAAGGAGAGATTGTGAGTTCCCTTTCTTGCCTTTCTGTGCTCTTCCAATGAGTTTTCAGGGAAGCAAGTGAGATGTAATATGTAGGAAGCAGAACCCGCTGTATTGTGTCCTTGGGGTATTTCCTGGAGCTGGATAAGGGTTGCCCAGACAGCGGCTGATGGGAAACTGTTGATACTAATCATTGCCATTATTTGCACATTGCAGAATCTCACGGGGGGAACCGAGGCTTTAGAATGAGCATTTAGAATTCAGGGAAAGAAGTGACAGGAATGGCTCACAGAGGTTGTCTCTGTGGCACAAGTCTTAAGTAGGGGCAGCATGGCAGAAGAGCATGGCTCAGAGGAATAGAGCAGGGTCCTGTTGCTTTAGAGCAGAGATGGGGAACCTTATCTCTCCAGATGTTGCCAGACCACAACTCTCATTATTCATGGCCTTTGCTTATGTTGGCTTGGGCTGCTGGGAGTTAGGAGTCCAACATCTGGAAGGCCCCAAGTTCCCCAGTCCTGCTTTCGAGTCAGAAGAGGCTGCCTTGAACCAAGTGAGAACATTGGTCCATCTCAGTCCACACTGACTGACAGCACCTTCTCCAAGGTTTCAGATCTCCCCCAACCTCTCCTGGAGAGGTCAAGGATTGAACCTTAGAGCTTCTACATGCAAGGCAGATGTTCTACCACTGAGCTACAGTCCAGACTCAGCGCAGTGGTAAACAGGGCCTGCCATCTTAGGAGAGCAAATAGGGCTTTGCTTGAATGTAATTTACAGGCCCTGAAAGGGGTATGTGCTGTCCTGGACTTTGAACCCATCATTTTAAACTCAAATGGGCAAAGCCCATGGCCCTACTAGGTCTTTCAGAAGGCTGCTGAGGGTCAGAGTGACAGTCCAGGGTGGCAGCATGCCCTGTGTGTATGCTTGGGTTTTGGAAGTGGTATGTTTGTACTAAGCAGAGAATTGTCAGGCATGGGTCTTGCTTTTGGGGCAGGAAAGTGCTACGGCGTGGCAGTTTCTGCTATTTCAGTTTTGGTAAAAATAATCAAAAAACAAGGCAGTGGAATAAATTATGCAAAGCGAGGAAGTATATGCAAACAACTTAATTTGCATAATATATCACAAGTACAGAGTTAGAGTTTAGGGTTTTTATCCTCTTAAGGAAATTTTGCACAGTATGCAGAGTCTTAGAGAAGACCAGCATGGGCAAGAATCACACATAATTCAATTGGTCCTTGGTCTTAAATTATTATTATCTTCCTGGCACCAGTGGCAGGTTGTCCCTATAGCACATTCACTTGTCTCCCAGTGCTGCACCCTTTATTATGGGTTATGTCCAGTGCTATTCTTAGTCAGAGCAATCCCATTGAAATTAATAAGCATGACTAACTTAGGTCCATTAATTTCAATGGGTCTACTCTGAGTAAAACTTAATTGACCAGAACCCAGTGTTTGGATGAGGCATCCACTGTGATCCCTGATCTACCCTGAGTTTCCGTCTCCTGCGATGGAGAAGAGACCATATCAGCCTATGGTCTGTAACACTAGGTGCAGCCACTTTTTCTCTGAAGGGTTCTGCAATGGATGGTTAATGTACTTGCCCAGTTCTTCTACATTCTGAAGTCATTGCTTCTTTGTTGCACAGCCAGCTGTAACGAAGAATCAGATTTTCTAGTGAATGGTGAAATGCTCTGAACCAGCCCCTCATTACTGTCCATGTTCTTCCTTCATTGCAGCAACTAGATCTTCATTCCTGCCCCAAAACCATTGTCTTCATCATCCACTCATTCCTCTCTGCCAAAGTGACCCGGCTGGGGTTGCTGGCATAGGGACACAGGGCAGAATCTGGAGAGAGGCAAGACTCCATGTGATCTATGCACTACGGCTATGCCTTCATGGCCAAAGCACATTTTTAAGAACGCCATTACAGACTGGAACAAGGACAAAGGTTGTCATGCATCCAAAGCCAAAGGAAGCCAGTAGACTTCCCGGACAACTGATGGAAACTCACGGACAGGCAACTGCCTTGCCACCCAAGTCCCAGGATGGACAGCCCATGCAATAAAAATGCTCCTGTAAAGTTGCCCATCAGCACATGATGTTCCTAGAAAAAGAAAGAAAGAAAAACCACCACAAGCTTGGAAAATATGAGACTGCTGAAGATGTCATACCAACCCAGTTCTGCCATCACATTAGTGCCTTGAAGATGATATTTTATACATAAATATATATATTAAAAAAATGTTTGTATCAAGGTTTTATATTTATATAGCTCAGTTTATGAACCATAAAGGGATGCTTACAGTGTTGTTTGCTCTGCCGTTTGTCACGACCATTTTACACTCAAAGACTGCAATGCTGTGCACATCTGTGTGGGAGTAAGACCTATTCAATGCAGTGGGACTTACTCCAGAGTAAACATGCATAGGGGTTGAGTTGAAAATGTGGTAGATTAAGCCAGATCTCTTTCATTACCTTTAACACATATAATCGGGGGTGGGGGGGACCACTTAAGCCATTGTCTGACATGCAGCCGGCATAAGCTGAAACATGGCTACATGTATTTGCCGATTTATCCAAACTTTGGGGGAAAGTTACAGAAGCCATAATTTTAAAAGAGATGCTCGAGTTGAAAAAGATCAGGAAGATGATTTTTATACTTTATTGGTTTGGTTTTGTAACTCTTGACACCTCGATTTTTGTTTGTCGGACATATGTTTTAACCGGAGGTGCTCTTGAGCAGGGGAAGCAATTAGTTTTATGAGCTGCAAAATCATGCATGGAATTATCTTTATTATTTTGTTTTCCTTTTGCGAAAATAAATACAGATTACTAAAGATGACTAAAGCAGAGTTTGTTTCCCTATCTGAATTGAAAACAACATTTGGCGTTGCCCACCAAGCCTGAAATTTACCAATTTTTTGACACAACAGTGGCTTTCTCATCTCAGTTTAATTTTATTGGCATAGCTTTCTGGCTGCTTCCTATATACATGACTAATCAACTAATCAGAGTCCTGTTGTTCAGTAATGTTGGTTCCGGTAAAACTGCCTACATGACTTTCGCTCTTTGCTCATCTTATCTGCTCTTAATTCATTTCTTAAAAACTTTTTGCGGGGGCGGGATATGGGAATTCAGTAATTGGTATACCTCCCCAACACAGCATGACACATACCTTACACGTATCATTCCAAAACAAGCTGTGATGCTTGCCACTTACATGACTCTTAACGCAACCTATTGCTTCTTGCACGCATACAGACATTTCAGAGGTGTTTCGTTTCTGCTGAAGGGAACAGCGGGAGGGACAAGAAGGTGCTACTGCCAGCGACTGCCTTGCTACGTGGCCTTGCTCATTGTGAAACAGTCCACATCATAATGCAGAACACTCGAAAAGCATTTCAGGGAACGCCAGCCAGCTTCTCACCAGCACTCCTATTAGGTGAGCAGGGAGAAGTTGCTCACTGCAAAACCTAAGCAAGAGAGGACATTTATTGTAGCAGAAGGGCATCAAATAAGAATTCCCTACCTGAAAATAAATGCTGCCTGAGGAATTCAGAATGCAAGTTCAAACGACTTTTCACCAGGTTCAGAAGAAAGTAGGGTTGACACAAACCCACTCACAATTTGAAAGCAGATGGGTTTTTTTTTGCCATAGTGCCCTGGCCAGGCCCCTCCAAGCGCTCACACATGAAGCATGAAGTACTTCAGCCCCCACCCTCCATTTGAGGGGAAGTTTTGATTGGTCCAGAATATCATCTCATGTAGAAGAGCCGTACACCCAGGGAAAAGCCACTTCACACAGCTCCAAAACAGGCAACTAGCAGGCTGAGTGGATGCAGCAGCAGACCTTAGCTAGCCAAAACAAGCACTAGGGCTTTAATCTCATTCCAGTTGCCCCCACAGCAGCACTTTTGTTTTTAAAGGAGATTCTGTGCTGGATTGCTTGTCTTATTTAGTTTGGCCCTCAGATTTCATTCTCCCCCCCCCCCAGCTCTTCTGCCTGAGATCCTTTGAACGGGAAATGGCACCAGGGATCGTGTCTGTCTGGGGTTTTCTGCATGCAACAATGCGATTTACATGCTTACAGTTCCTACTATTAAACTTCCCGCATAACATTAACATTCACCAGAGCCCAAACAACACTGCAACAAATAGATTATTGTGGCTAAATAAACAATGATTAGATTATATCATATTGCAGCTATGACAGCAACTTCAGCTGACGGGATAATAGAGATTACTTGTGCAGTCTTGCCGTGTGTGTGCATAAATATTTTGTGGAAGAGATACACGCATCGGTGTGTTCCCTGGAAAGAACATCTTGGTGAAGAGTGTGTGTGTGTGTGTGTGTGTGTGTGTGTGTGTGTGTGTGTGGTGTTAAGAACAAGCAGCCTGAGATCCTTAAATCACAGGCATTGCCTTAATCTGTCTTTTCCTGGCATCAAGTGGTCCAGCTGTTTCCATGCCTGACCCCAGATTTCTCTCATAAGGAGACTGCAGAAACCTGCCAGGGAGAAGATGACAACTTCAGAGGTTGACGAGTCCTTTCCAGAATGGCAGTGCTTCCTTTGATGCTCAAGGCAGGGGGCTGCGAGTTGGCTGGTCTCGCCTATTAATTTGATTTGTACTTTTGCCTGCTGCCTAGTGTGCCATCATTGGTCGTTTACTCACCACCTGAACGGAGCAAGACCTTCTTCACAAATGATCCGAGAAGTGGTGAGAGGAAGCACCCTTGCTACCAGTCTCCTCACAGCAGATGCCTAGGCTGGGTACCTGCCACCGTAGAATTAACCTTAAGGTTTGGGTGTCTGCTAGGTTCTTGCTCCTCTCTAGGAGAAACAATGTCAAGCAGGGACCAAATCTGGAAAAAAAGAAAAGTGGGGTAATTTGTATAGGTTTGCAGAATTAAACTTTTACTGCATTTGGGTTACTTTAGTGCAGAATTTTGACAATACCCCACACTTTTCTTTCACTGCAGCATACAGTGGTACCTTGGTTACATATGCTTCAGGTTACAGACGCTTCAGGTTACAGACTCCGCTAACCCAGAAATAGTACCTTGGGTTAAGAACTTTAATGAGAACAGATGAGAACAGAAATCGTGCTCCGGCGGCGCGGTGGCAGCGGGAGGCCCCATTAGCTAAAGTGGTGCTTCAGGTTAAGAATAGTTTCAGGTTAAGAACAGACCTCCGGAACTAATTAAGTACTTAACCCAAGGTACCACTGTACACCTGTATAACTGAATGCCTACAAGAGAAAGCATTAAAATTACTCCAGCCTTATGACTTTGCACTGAAGTACCAGACTGCAAACTGTGGTTGTGCATACAAATCTCAGTTACGAATTAAGACTCCCAATACATGGCTACTCTCTCTCTCTCTCTCTCTCTCTCTCTCTATATATATATATATTCAAGGCCAACATCTCTGCCCTTCATTCCAAAGAACAGGAGTTAAGTGTGGAATTAAGTCTTGAACTTAATGCAAAAACTCAAGCCATTCCTATTGTCAGTTTCCCCTTGGGAAGACTTAATGCAGAACTGGATGTGGAACTGGCGAGCCTTTTCTGTTGTGGCTTGTGTATACAGTAGTGTGGTGGCAAATTCAGATGTCCAGGGTCCCCTCGTGACAGACATGCCCCCCCCGTCACATCCTCTTCTAAGATTATACAAGAACCCCAGGAGCCAATCCTGAGTGGCTGGCTTACCTTTCACTCTGATTGGCTCCAATCAGCCCAAAGGGTATGAAGACTTCTCAGTGGCTGAAAAGCTCCCTTTTCATGCTGACTGGGTGGTTCTAGGGTCCTGGAGTTCGGGATCCTGCTGCAGAAACGATAGCAGGTCTTCAACCCTCTTGTCATCCTGGACCACTGCTCCTCTGTGTTTATATATAAAAGCTAAAAGCTCAATAGAAAAGCAATGCTACGTAGTTGTAAGTAGTCGTGCCATACAGGTAGGCCCTGTGTTTGTATCCATGCTCTCAGTCATCATTGGAGAAGAGAGGGAGAGAGTCACGACTCATTAGGAAGACAAAGGCTCCCATTATCTGGGGAGAAATGTTCGTTTTTTATGTATGCAAACCATTAGCTCAGATACAATCTCATCCCAAGTGCCAGGTATTCTAAATATATAAAGAATGGCACTCTTGAGCAACAGTAATAAATTGATTCTGCAGCAAATGTATTCTCTTTCCCCTTGGCTGACGCAATTGCTGGTTAGCGGTTGTCATGGTAATGCCATTTCTGTACTCTGAAAAAACTATTAGATGGTGCTGATTGCACAAGCCTCTCACAAAAACAATGTTAAGAGTAGTAACAAGAAAGAACTGAGAGCATTTGTCGTTTTTCTTCTGCAAAAGTGTGTGTGGCGTGTTAAAAAAAACAACAACTATCAGGCCAGTGTGTAAATCAGAATGTGCGGCACTGCGCAGTCAGTGAGTGCATCTGCAAAGTGTGCACATGGATGGAAGCATTCTCAGCACGACTTTCAGACAGATAGCCTGATATTGACCTGGAAGAGTTTTCTGTAATGTCTACACCAATCTGCAAGAGAAGATGGCCCAATCCACCCCTCCAATCACCCCGACGCTTCCTTCCAAAACCACAGTTTATCACTGAATTGGAACAAATGGCAATTGGGTATCCGTTTGTTCCAATTAAGCTCTAAAGAGTGGGTTTTCCAGGGGAAAGCAGCAGGGCAAAGGCAAAACTGCTCAGACTCATGCCTAGACAGCATGGGACAAGTGAAGAACTGCTCAGATCCACACTTTCTAGGCATGGCACAAGCAGAAGTGTGGCTGAGCCATGGGTGATTTCAACAGTAACCCATAGCTTAGGTTTGGGGGACATGTTGTACTACAGCTCCCATTATTCTAGATTATTAGTCATGCTCTTGGGTGCTATTATTATTATTAATTACAAAGTGTACACTACCCAGGGAGCAAGGGCTATGGGTATGAAGGCCCACGATGAAGCAACATTGCTGAAGTTAAGATTTAGGTCTGGTCATTGCCTGGCTGGGAGACTAAGGGTGCTATTCAACTAAGTTTTACTCCAGAGTTGACCTATTGAAATGAATGGACCAAACTTAGTCATGTTCATTTATTTCAATGAAGCTGCTCTAGGTAAAATTAGCTGACTACCATCCTGGAAACCTTCTACATGCTGGCTTGAATTCCAAGGCAGGACACAAGTGTAGTAAGAAATACCGTCACTGCAGAGAAATATCAGCTCTAGGATGTCGAGTAAAACAGAAGATTATTTGAAAAGTGCTCACCATTTCACTTTAGAACCATCTCCCCCAGTGGTT